GAATAACATATGATGTTGCGTGGCTGCAGTAGAGGCTGCGCGATTTTGAAATTCCGAAATTTTGACACTTAAATCTGGAGGGATTTCTGCCAAAACCTGCTGTGTTCCGAGATTTGTTCCTGAGTCTCTGGGATCATGGCCGTTAAGCAGCTTGATCAGGAGCCAGAGAGGCCATTCGTGGGCAATGACTTGGGGTTTCGTTGGGGTGGGGAGGACAGGATTGACTCCACCCCCATCTCGTGAGGCCCAACAAGTTTTGTCACCACGGGCCCAAGCCTGACTGTCCAGTGGCCTCTGGAGGATGGCGGCCAACGAGCCACCAAGGGGGAGCAGGCGGAGGGATAGCACCCTTTCCCCCCTGGGGTGGCCCAGCAATAGTAACCTACTGCGGGATCCGGACCCATTTCTGCCAAAAGCCATGCGGTTTCGAGATTTGTTTCTAAGTCTCTGGGATCATGGCGTTAAGCAGCTTGATCAGGAGCCAGAGAGGCCGTTCATGGACAATGACTTGGGGTCTCGTTGGGACGGGGAGGACAAGACCGGCTCCACCACCATCCCGTGAAGCCCAACAAGTTTCGTCACTGCGGGCCCAAGCCTGACTGTCCAATGGCCTCTGGAGGATGATGGCCACCGAGCCGCCAATGGGGAGAAGGCGGAGGGACAACATCCTTTAACCCCTGGGGTGGCCCGGCGACAGTAACCTACTGTGGGGTCCGGACACATTTCTGCCAAAAGCCACGGGGTTTCGAAATTTGTTTCTAAGTCTTTGGGATCATGGCCGTTAAGCAGTTTGACAAGAAACTAGAGAGGCCATGCCTCCAATTATATAGCTGAGCCGGAGGTGGTTTGCGGGTGTGTTTCCCACATACCTAACTTTTGGCCGTTTACTTTCTTGGTAAACTTTGCCCCAAGTTTTTGGGGTCTGGTCAAAGGCACAGCAGCAATTTTGGGGTATCTGGAAGTCTGAAGGTGCCATCATGCTGCTGATGCACTCGCCTCACAGGTACAGACTGACCTGCTGGCGGCACCAAACCCCCGAGATGTTCCTTTTTCCTATTCCCGTTTTACTCACTAGTCTGGCTTTTGTAAAACTTGATAAATTAGGGTAAGAGAGTGTCAAAAAAAAAATAGTAATACATCAGGTCTGGATAGCACAGGAAGTAGTTTTTTTTGTGTACAATCTCTTGCTACCTTGATCAAGTTTATTTCTAAGTAGTTCGTCCTATTATAAATGGAATTTCCCCCCCAATTTCCTTTTTGTAAAGTTCATTGTTCACATACTGAAATGTAACTGATTTGGTGTCTTGCGACATTTTAGAATGTCTATTCATTTGGTACACTTAAACAGAACAAGTGTGCCTGCAGGGGAAATTAATCCCACCTGATATGGGTGAGTGGTATGCCATATACCCAAAGCTCAGACTCAATACTTATTGAAGCTGCAACCGCTGGAACTGTGTAATGTGCCTGTGGGGATGGGGTAGGGATTAGCAGGTGGGGAGGGAATATGGGAACACTGGTGGAGGGAAGCTGACACCAGTGGTGGGATTGATGCTGAAATATTATATGCCTAAAATTCAACTATCAATAACTGTAAATCACAGTTCTTTAATAAAAAATTTATTAAAGATGAAAATCATCACCATATTCAATTCTTCACTGATAAGGTCTACAAAATTGTGAAATGGCCCAGGTTTACAAAATACTCAGTCATTAACTTTGTAGTATGATCACAAGCAGACCACTTGTTGGGCTCTATTCTAGATGTTGGAGACGAAAGATGTATTACAGATCACCTTCTATTAAGACACAAGTGGAAAAGTAGGAAACTAAAATAATCTTAATGTTGTACTAAACATAAATGTGTTAAGGATCAGAAGCTTACAAAAGAATGGCATGTTGGAGGTAAACAACATGCTCATATATTAAGTTTAGTTTGGCTTCTGTGCAGAGGATGAATTAGAGGGAGCAAGTGACCAGAAAGGAGGCTGGAGTAATCCAGGCAATATAGGCAGGATTGGAAGTGACACCGGCATGGAGCTCTGCCATGCTTAGAACCAGGAACAAAGTTCGCCCATGGCTTAAACAATAGCACACTGAATTTTTCATCTTCACCTTAATTATTGAGAGGGTTCTGGAACCCCGAAACCCTGGCATCGCCTTACAGATTCATGGAGCAAAGCCCTCACGCACTATGAACAGGGCCATTAATCACTCTACAGTTTCTGAAGGTGGTATTCTTGGAATACGAGGATTATGAATTGCCCGTAAGAGCTGTACAAGGCAGCAGACTTTCTGGAAAAATAAAAACATAGTAGGTAGTGGGACTGGTCTCTCTCCCCAAACAACGCCCATTAAAGATCATGTTCCATCATACCTTATTTATGAATATACAGCAACTTAGAGTTAAAAAATGAATTACGACAAAGAGCCAAAGCAAGCACATCCCAATGTGCTTTCACAAAACACCTGGTAGGCTTATTAATTTAATGGAATCTTATGAATACAAGTTACTTAAGTTCTTGATGTATTCTTCAATCATTAAATTACTTAACATAAAAAAAACCACAAATATATATGGTCCTAGCTGCTTTGTAGTTCCCCTAAAGAGGTAAATAAGTTTTATAAAACATTAAAATGTCTAGCCATAAAAATTAGACCATGAATCAATTATCTGCAGACATTTCTTGAATTCCCCCAAATTTTAAGGTTAATTTTCCCCAGAAAATGACTATATAGTTATTGTGGCAATAAATGCAGCTTTATAAAAAGATACATATTTTGAAACTGCTTTTGTCATATATAAAAAACTATATAGCAAATATTTATACCAAGAATGCTATAATTTATAAAAATTTTGTCAGTGCTCTTACTTATGCCTACCTGTTCTTTGGGATGAGTCAGGATCTCGGTTTGCTTTGTCCAGAAAAAGGGAAAGTAAGAAAATACAAACCAGAAGAGTATTTTCTCACTGCATAACAAGGACTAGCCAGTCAGATCCACTGTCAAGGCTGGCTGGTTCAGCTGTAAAGCACATATGCCGTGCAGACATAAGAACTTGGTTTGACCCCTGGCACACCAAAAAAAAAAAAAAAAAAGGAAAAAAGAAAAAGGGAAACTGAAGGGGAAAAAAAACCCTAACAGTTGTCAAAGTAGTAAAAGAAATACTGACCAGTGCTCCTCTGAGTAAGTAGTTAAAAAGTGATCAAAAGTGAAGAGGGCAAAGTATATGCACCATAAATGTTTTCTGGGTATTGATAAAACCAGACACCTACAAAAATATAAAACTGCTTCCTTAAGATTTTCTAGAAATGAGATTCGTAGAACAGCAGGAATGGAAGGAAGTTTAAGATTCAGAAACACCTCATTTTGACAGGATGAATTCCAGAGTAATTAGGTACCCACCAAAGGTCACATAGTTAATTCAGTAGTCTGGACTGGAAAACAAGTCCTCTCAGATGAGTGCTCTTCATTTGCCTACACTGCCCTGTCTCCTGTATGTCACTATGTCAAGTCCCCACTGCTCTTTCTGCCCCACGATATACCCCTTAGGAAGAGTCAGAAGAATTGGATTATAGACTGCATAAGAACATGTATTGTTCTTGAACAAACAAACAATGGATGAAACATTATTTCTAATAATGACCAGGCTGAAATTCATTTGGAGTTTGGGAGTACAGGGTAAATACAAAAGAAGTAATTCTGTAGACAATAATAGAAGCAGAAGAGGAAATACTATCCTCTTTTGTACTCTTATTTTATTACTGTATTTTATTTTGTAATTAAGTCCATATATTAGATAAAACATAACAGGAAAAATGAACAAATTTATAAACTGATGTCTAGATGAAAAAAAAACACAAGAGCTTGCCTTTGTGTTCATAAACTTCGTGATATGTTGGTGGTCTTGCACTTTGGATATCAAAGATATCTAGACTGAAAGAAGTTGATATGCAGCAGTTTAAGCCATAGTTAGATGACAGGCCATGAAATAATAGTTTCTAAATCTTACTCTTAAATTGGCTACAACAAATGCTGAGATAGCAAAATACAAGCTTTTGTTATTAGACAGCAAGAGGGACACTCGAATGGAACTTACCTCCAAAGCTCTCTATGAGGAGGTAAAAAATAAATACTGTGTTTGAACAGTGTCTCCCCGCCCCCCACCCCTGCGCATTACTCTAAGCATGCAGGAGGATGCTATGAGCAGCTACAATATTAAGATCCAACCCAGAGGTAGGTTCAAGGCCAAGAATAGGAAAGTGACTGAAGAAATCTTCGTGGGCCAGAATCATTTCATTTCACAGAATGCCCAACTGTACTGGGGGGATGAATTCTATGGCTGATTTTTCTGATTAAAAAAGGCATCCCCAATCTCGAACTTGCTGGAAAGAAAACAAAACAAAACAAAAAAAGAGGCATATTTGTACTTGCCATAGTAATAGGTGTAAACTGGAATACTGAAAAAGGCTAGCATAAAATTATTTAGCAAGCATATGCTAGCAATTCCAGTTTGAAATCTGCCAAATTATAAAATCGAGAACAAATAAAAAGTTGAAGATAGAGCAACTGTTCCTCAAGATGAAGGAACAGAGTCTTACTAAATGAGGGATTAGGCACTCACGTAACTATTTGGAGAATACCCTACTCAGGCGAGGCAGAAGATGAGGAAGAGTATTACCAAAGGTTGACCAGGCCATTTGGAGACCAAAAGGAGAGTGGGGAAAAGGCATTTAGAAGAAAGCTAGCAAAAGAAATTCTTCTGGGTCTGTCAGTTAAAGTGATCTATGGCACTCATGCCAAAGATACACTACCTATTACACCAGCGTGAGGCTGGTAGCAAAGTAGCTCAAAACATTTAAAACCCAGAGAACTGTAAGAAAAACGTTAACCAAGCAAATTAAAACCAGACTTCCCAAGGTGAAATCTCAGATTAAAAAATCTAAGCTACACACTTTTCATTAATTCTGTGCATTATTAGAAAAAAATAATAAAGTAACAAATGTAAAGATTTATTTTATTTCTACTGGGGGGAAGGAGGAGGATAAATAGAACTGTTTTCCAATTTGTTCTCCACTGTTTACACACATACCCACACGCATACATACACATACACACATCAAAAATATCCCAACAAAAAAAACAAAACAAAAAAACAAGAGTTGAAAATCAAAACACCCTCAACTGCACCAATACATTTTGACCAAAAGAACAGATCCTGGGAGGAAGTGCAAAATGCAAAAATAAAATGACCAAAAATGCTGAACAAACAGCATTATTAATATACAAAATATTTATATTACTGAACTAGTAACAGTTGATGTTCTCCATGTCTGTAAAACTTTGGAACCACATAGCTGATTTGTTAAATCTAGTCCATGTCAGCTTCCAAAAACCAGAAAAGATTTTAGTTTGCTTCATTCTTTGATGCCTCATCAAAATTTTCTACAAGATCTGGAATAAAAAAAAAAAAATTAAGATACCATAAAAGAGAAAAAATGAAAATTTCATGAGCTTAACCCCAATAAATATAAAACTGCTGCTGTTAGCATTAGTTTGACAGTATAAAGGACAATCGGTAGAAATGAACTGGTGAGATTTCACTAGTGGTGCCTCATTTATTTGCTTAAGATAGAATTCATAAAGAAACTTAGTTTTTGTTTGGCTTTTTCAAGCAAGTCATTAGGATGCAGTGTTTTACATGTCAATCATACTTCACATAGAAATAACAGTAACTAAGTAAATTTTGAATTTTAAGCGACAAATTCTGATTTTAAGTTCTAAATGAAAGGGCTTTAATTAGATCTTATGCATTATATTGTATGAGAATCTATTATTCTGTTTGTTTTAGAGCCACACCCAACATGCCCAGGGCTTACTCCTGGCTCTGCACTCAGGAACTACTCCTGGCAAGCTCAGGTAACCATATGGAGTGCCAGTGATTATATTCTGGTCAGCAGTGGATGAGGCTAACACCTTACCTGCTGTAGTATTTCACTGGCCCCTTGTGTGTAAATCAGTTTAAATTCATAAGTTCAACAACAAAAAATGGAGTCATGGCATAATAAAATGAAAGCAGGATTCTAAAAAATTTAAAACTAAACTATGCATTACCTGGAACATCATCATCCTCTTCATCAATGTCTTCTGGTTTTGGTGCTTTGCTATCCAACACTGCAAAAAGTTCATTTTAAAGTTAGTCATCAAATGCGTGAAATGCATGATTAATAGTAATATAAATCCCAGAACCGCAATACAAATAAATTAGTATTTAAAATTTGCTTGTTTATTCATTTATTTTTTTGTGTTTTGGGCCACAGCAGCAATGCTCAGGGGTTAACTCCTGGCTCTGAACTCAGGAATTACTCCTGGAGATGATTGGGGGACCACAAGGGATATGTAGGGGACTGAGCTCAGGTCAGCTATGTGCCAGGCAAGTGCCCTACCTGACATACTGTCTCTGCAGACCTGAATTAAAAAAATTTTAAATAAAATTAGTCTTTGAGAACAAAGATCATTACAGATTCTTATGTTTATCCCTTTTTCCCTGTCTAAATCTTATGCAGCTGTTTAGGAAAAGCTAAACATTATCTACTCTAATGCAGTATTTTAAATTTTAAGTTCAGAAAAACTTTAACTTATACGTGTATTAAATACAACTGGAAATTTCAATGGGCAGTGAAGATAACATTTATATACAAAATGGAATAATAATGGTTCATTTGCAGTGGTTATATTCTCCACTTACAAAAACGTTATACCCCAGTAAATCTTATAGAAATAACCATCATGGGGAGATGGCTCCAAGGACTAGAACAAATGCTTTGTATGTCCCTAATCAGATCTCTAGTACCATATGGTCCCCCAAACACCAACTAGGTGTGTACCCCCTTTCAGAAAGAAAAAATAAAATGATATTGTTAAAAAATGCATCTAAAACACCCAATATACCTATTAATTATAGCTTAGATGAGGCTACAAACATGCCCAGAACACTTACATTAGCCTAGAGTTGGACAAAATCATCTAATACAAAGCCTATTTTACAATAAAATGTTGACCACCTCAGGTCATTTACTGAATGCTACGGTGAAAGTGAAAACTAATCTGGAGGTTATTGATTAACCTCATGATTCCAGGTCTGACCGGGACTCAAAGATTACTGCAGTGCTCAGCGTCATTACAGAGTATATTTCATGCTGCTGGCCCAGAAAAAGATTAAAATTGGAATTACAGTTTCTACTGAATATGTATCCCCTTTGCACAATCACAACCTTATTTAGTCTTATTTTTATTTTGGGGGCCTGCCAAGCAAAGGAATAGGCGCCACTCCGGGCAATACGCAGCCAGCTGATTCAGATCGTTTACATGGCACTGTTGGGGTCACTAGGCTACACAGGGCAGTGCTCAAAAGGTCATGCAATGCTGGGAACTGAGCTGCGGTCCTGACCCTGAGTTATTCCCTTGGCCCCTAAATACAGTAAAATAAGTCAGAGAAAATAACGTGCTATTAAAAAATCCATGAAAAAATATAGTGCTGTACTGTATTCATTGATAACCTAATTTACAAAACCCAAGTGTATCTAAAAGGGAAAGCAGTTCAAACCCATGTTTTTTAAACCATGTTGTTAATGCTGCTAAAATGTACCTGAATATTTCATGTGCCATCTGTGTACTTATTAAAGAAACAAACACAAAAGCATCTAAGAATATAAACAATCTTGTAAGAAGCAAGATTTGCATATAAGCAAATACTTCCAGTTCGAAAAAGGAAACCTTTGAAATCATTAGGTTCTTTAAGGGAAGGAGATGACGAAATACCTACCTTGCCGCGGGAACTGTTCAGCTAACTTCCTAAGACTTGTTAAACTATCAGCACCAAGCTGACTTAATATCCCAGGCAGCATTTCTGTGATTGGTTTGGCTTCTGCGTGACCAGTAATTGCAAAGGTGTTAGCAGAAAGGGAAGCTTGGACTTTGGGATTATTGAAATGAATAACTGTCCCATCATCTTTAATCATGTTCACCTGAATGATCACAGAAGAAAAATTTATTTCACATATTTGGTACAACTAAAAACAATATAAAATTTAGCCAAGTTCTGTTTTTTTTTTTTTTTTGAAAAGGTTGGGGAGGGGGAGGCTCCCAAGCAATGCTCAGGGGGCTCAAGGGCCCCCTTTCAGGATTCTCAGCCCACTGGGTCAGCATTTTAGCGCAAGGGTCTGAGGTGCAGAGCTGCACAGGCCCTGCAGTGCCAGAGATTACCTGGGCTATATATATCACCAGTGCTCAAGGCACCATGTGGTAACAGGAATCTAGTTGGGGTTTGGCTACATGGAGGTCATGTTGCCTTAACCCCCAAACAATCTCTTCAGCCCCCAAGCTGTTTTAAAAACTTGGTTGTTTTATAAACCCAAGGCACTAGTTATCCACACAATTAATGAAGCAGTAGAAATGGGTAGGAAAGGAGATTAGCAACAAAGTAAAATGGCTTAGGCTACATAAATTACTACGAAGGTCAAAAAATAGTCATTTTAGTATGGAATCTAGATTTTTAAATTCAAAGACTTTTCTTGTAAGTAAGAAGCTCATGTCCACTTTTAAAACAATCAAGTATCGGCTGAGGCCTGGCTTGTTAATGAAATCATTCATTATCTTACTCAATTTAATTACTGAATGAAATAGGTATAAATGTGATTTGGCAAGGAAGCAGCGTACTTAGGGGAAGAGGTTTTAAGGGAGTATTAGTACATATAAAAGTAATCACTGAACATCCATAAAGTACACTCAGGAATCAGTCAAGCATTTCACTCCATTGAACACAGGATTTTGTCAGTTCTTCTAATTCTTAAGTGTGGCTTCTTGACAACCTTTATAAATCCTCATAAATGTCAATGCAAAAAAAAAAAAAGTCAATGCAGCTCTCAATCGTCTTGCTTGATCATCTGAATATACTTGATCAATCAGTTGGAAATCTTTAAAACCAACATCCTTTCTACAGCTTTCGCTAAAATGGACCAGACTGAAATTGATCTACTGCGGAGAGCCCGGCAAGCTACCGAGAGTATTCGATATGCCAAACACAGTAACAACAAAGTCTCCAATGGAGACGTTACTGGGCCCGCTCGAGCAAATCGACGATCAATGGGAGGGCCTGGGGCTTACTGAAAAGGAAGGATGAACATGCACTGATTAAATTGTTATTTTTTTCCTTTCATTCATGCATTCTGTGTTTTAGTAGAGCTGAATTTACATAATTCATATGTGCAAAGGATGTGATTTTACTATGCAGCCGATTTCACTGGGTAAGCTACCTTGGTGGTAACATGTTTATTAGATAAAAAGGTTAGGAGAGTTAACTGTTGGCTACTTTAGAAGCATTTCATGATCCATCCAAAAACTGCCCTTGTCACAACCAAGAGGAGATGTTCTTCATGATCAGTGCAATTGGGATTTTCTTCCTCAGAGGTGATCACCAGCACTGCTAGACAGCACCAGAAAGGAAGGGGAAGAAAGGGGCGTCTAAATTTCAGGCAAGACCTGGAACACAGAAAAAATAAAGGCAAATCCCCTGGAAAAGTGTAACTAAGCCCCACAAATAATTTCCCAAATTGTCTCTGGTAAAAATTACCATTTCAGTTCTACACTCTTCCCTTTCTTTGTATTGCACTTAAGGTTCTATCTTGTAGATGACACAAAATAAACATTCAGTCCAACTCTTTCCAACAAATGTCGAGGTTAAAGTAATTTATGTTCACTTTTAGAAAATGATCAATTACACGATTCTGAAGAAAATTACAGTTCAGGTGGACAATGGAATGTTTAAGTGGCTGAAATTCTGGGAGGAGAATAGCTTGAGGAGGAAACGACTGGAAGGAAGGAAACCAGGGGCTGCTGTTCTCCAATCACGCAACGTCAGTGTGGGGAAACAGAGAGCTCAGAGGATTATATTTTACACATCAAGGCCAAATCCCTTAATTTAATACAGGATTTTGTAAGACTTCCAGGTATGAAGAGTCTCAAATACTGGAACTTGAGACAGTTTTTGTTTACAGACATCACGAGACTGGAAATCAGTACTGCTCCCCTAAAGTCAGTTCATATATTTGTTAAACTTAAGAGGTCTTCTAGTTCAAATCCTTGCTGAGAAATAAATACCTAGAGACAAAAGCTCTTGGATAAACAACAGAGGCTAGAACAAACAGCTGGTTAAATACAAATCCAGACCCTAAACCTGGATTTTCTGTTCGATTTCAGTGAACTACAGATCTTACTGGCCACAAAATAAACAAGAGGCTAACATGGGCCGCAAAGCAATGTTGTCGTATTTTACATCCTGATGTAGGTAGGTGTTTGAAGTTTGACGTATGTTTAGCATATGTGAGAAGCAAGATGAATCAATCTAGGGTAGGAAAATTATTAAATGGCTATTTTGAGTTAGGGTTGATTTTTAAAAATACAGCTTTATGAATAGAAAGGTTCAGAGGGATATGGAGAGTTGAGCTAATTTTAGACAGCAGAAAGAGTAAATAAATACATTTTCCTTCACTGGGGGAAACTCAGACGCTGGAGCTAAAGATTCCACTCTGAGCATGTGATGCTGGCACCAGGGATTAAGGTCACAGGTGCGCACTTGCCCTGGGTTCTTTATTAAACTATCTAGCTATTTTTGGGCCCCCAGAACATTTTTACTGAGGGGGAGGCAGTTCACAGACAGTGCTTTGGGCCCAGGGGCCATTTTCTGCAGTGCTCAGGTGCCACCAAGTTAGAACCCAGTGATTTTACTAGTTTGACCTAAATAAGTCACAGTATTAAGAAGAGCGATGAAACTTGCTACTGCACCAAAACTCAAGCTCGTTTTTAGCCAAATGTTTTTCAGCTCAACATACAAGGGGGAAGAATATTTTGTAAGCTATGGAGAAGGTATTGAGATCCCAGAAAAACAAGCCCCCCAAAAATTCCCCAAAACAACAAAAAAAACCCCAGATTCCCTTGGGTAATGCTTGGGGCAGTCCTCAGAGACAAAACTGGCACTGCTCAGGGTTCTCTACGGCTACATCTGGTGATGATAGGGAGGCCATAAGGTCAAAGAAAGAAACTGGGTTTGATGCATGCAAGGTAAGAGCCCTTCCTCCTGCACTGTCTCTCTGGCCCTTCTGTTTGTTATATAGTGCCAGGGAACAACCCCAGGTCACAGGCATGCAAGGCGGATAATCTATCACTCAGAATGCATTCCCGGGTCCCTTGTTCTTACAAGCAAAGCGTGTGTCCTGTAATCCCTGTATTACTCCCCCAGCCCAAAGGCAATATATATTTAAATATATTGAGAGAAAGCTGTTTTGGAAAAAGACAATGGCAGTGGTTGCAGAAAACACTGAATGGAATGAAAGTCAATAAACTGCACTCTCAAAACATGATTAAAATGGCAAAGTATGTTCATTACATTTGATCACAAAGAAACCGATGGAGAAACAAAACAGAAGGTACCCATCGAGAGCTCAGGGGCAGAGTGTGTTGTTCAAACACAAGCCTTCAGGTCTGACTGCCTGCACACGTGCCGCCGTGTCAGGCACTATTCCCATTCAAATGGCAAACTGCTGCTTGGGATCCTTCACGTCACAAAGTGTGCAATCTTTGCTGTACAACACACCCCCAGTCATTGCAACAATGAGGGGGGCGGAGGGGAGCAGGATCTTAAAATACAAAGGCTGCGGTGGAATGATGAAGCGACGCAGTGACAAGACACTTCCCGTCTGCTCTTGTGCACGACGCTTTCCTTTCACTCCTACTTCACCCACCAGCACTTGAGGTAAGTCTGGGAAGAAATGAGCGCAAGGGTCAACTGGTGATGTAAGCTGTCTTCTGGGGAACCAGTTAAGAGGAAGAAAGAACCAGGAAGAGGAAAATAGAAACTGGAGAACTTTCAAATGGCAAAATTTGCATTCTTGGTCCTAACCTTTCTCTTGAGCTCCAGCTCCCTAAATTCTATCTATGAAGCAACATTATCACAGCCAAAGAGAAATTCAGGGTTCCGGTGTATCTGCTACCAAATCTGATTAAAATCAACTGTTTCTGAGAAAGAGAACAGAGGAAGAAAGGGGAGAGCGACTATATTCAATTGGATTATCTAGTAATACACACTTCAAAATCTCTTTCAACGTCACAGAATAGAAAATATTTTCAGAAATATGTTTCTAGATTATACTCTACTAGAAATTCCTTCCCAAAAATAGGCTATATGCTTGGCATTCTTATGAAACACTGACATTCCTCTGTCCTTTAATTTTTGACAGCTTTGAATTTTTTTTATGACATCTTATTGTCTCATTCCTACTTTGGACAAACTTGCAGGCTATTGAATGTAGCCTGCCCACAGGGCAGAGTCTGGCAAACTCCCCGTGGCGTACCAAATATGCCAAATACCAGTAACAATGATGGGTCTCATTCTCCTAAAGAGCCTTGAATGTAATCTCAGGGCTAGGGTGAAAGAGACGTTACTGGGGCCTGCTCGAGGCAATCGACGAATTTGTTTTTGGTAACAAAAAAAAAAGTCTAGATGTTTGTAACTATATGTTTATTATAGCAAATCAACAAACCAATGAAAGACCTAACGAATCTGGGTCAGCCTTGTGCAAGGCAAATGCCCTACCTGCTGTGCTAAGAGGACTTTTAAGTTTTCGGACGAGGAAAAAAAAATCACATACAGACTGGAAATCTAGTAAGATCAGAAGTTTACTTGGTAAAAGTGACTCAACGAGTCTCTGAAACCCACCAGTGAGTTCCCTGCTCCCCACTTATCAAACTAAGGTTTTCTTTTTATTTGATGTTTACAAGTACAGAAAACGTGATTAATATTACCTTTGTTTTCTATACTCGATAGTTTTTAACCAGCTTTTCTTAAACTGCCGAGCCAAAAAGGTAGTACATTCAAAAGAATCACCTTTTAATGACTCAATCATTCCCTGGCCCTAGTTCTATTATTTTATTGCAGTGGCCACTCTTAGCGGTACTGGGATGTCATGGGGTACCAGGGATGGAACTTAGGGCTTCCACATGTGAAATCTGTATTCCAGTCCCCTGAGCTATCTTCCTAAAACCCTGCTTCTAATCTTTTCAGCTTAAGAATGCACAGCCATATCAGGCTCGAGCGGGCCCAGTAACGTCTCCATTGGAGACTTTGTTGTTACTGTGTCTGGCATATCGAATACGTCGCGGGGAGCTTGCCAGGCTCTGCCGTGCATGTGAGATACTCTCGGTAGCTTGCCGGGCTCTCCGGGAGGGGCGGAGGAATCGAACTCGGGTAGGCCATGTTGGCTGCGTGCAAGGCAAACGCCCTACCGCTGTGCTATCACTCCAGCCCCATATCAGGCTAAAAGGAAAAAAGATGTATGTTGCTTATAGTTCCTGCCATCGTATAAGTACACTGACTTCAAAGCTATCAAGCGGATTTAAATGATACGTTAATAATCATTCAAGTATACATGGTAGAAGAAATATGTGACGTGTGGCCATTTCAATGCCTTTTCTTTCTCTGTATGTGTGGTACTGGGGTCAAATCCAGGAGTTCTATCCTTGGATCTCTCTGCTCCCACGTCTATATCTGATGAGTTTACAACATATGTACATTAACATTTATTAAAAATAGTGAGGTGGTACCACATACTAATGATGTAATTTAAACTAAACGGGGGAAGGAATGACAGTACAGCAGGTAGGGCACTTGCCTTGCACATGGCTGACCCAGACTAGATTTCCGGTATCCCACCTGAGCACCCTCATGAGAAATTCCTGAATTCCAGATCCAGGAGTAGACTGTGAGCACCACTAGGTGTGGCCCCCAAACCAAATAAAAATACAAATTGAACTTAAGATGCTTAAAAATTAAACACTGGGGGCTGGAGAGATAGCACAGCGGGTAGGGCATTTGCCTTGCACGCGGCCAACCCGGGTTCAATTCCCAGCATCCCATATGGTCCCCTGAGCACCGCCAGGGGTAATTCCTGAGTGCAGAGCCAGGAGTAACCCCTGTGCATCGCCAGGTGTGACCCAAAAAGAAAAAAAAAATCAAACACTGGTTATTATCAAAAATGGAAATCAGGTAGAAGTGATGGTAACAGATCAGAGAAAGGTCAGTTACTATTGATCTCTTGAAATCATTTTGACTTTTGGTTTCATAATTGAGGAAAAGTACTATGATCAAAATGTAAAGAGGAAGAAAGCACAGGAGTTATGGCATGATAAATACTATATACAATGTATTGGTATACACACATATACATTACAAATATACTCATATTTGTATTTATAAAATTTATTTATGCATTTTCATTATATACAAATATATTTGCCTTGCATGCAGCCAACCCAGATACAATCTCCATCAATGCCTGGTCCTCTGAGCACCACTAGAAGAAATCCCTCTAACGAGAGGCCCCTGAACATCACCAGGTCTGGTCCCAACCTACCCCCCAAATTCTTAAAAGACATTTGGGGCCAGAATGATAGTAAAGTGGGTAGGGTCGTGGTCGACCTGGGTTTGATTGCCGGCACTCTGTATGGTCTCCCAAAGCCTGCCAGGAATAATCCTTGAAGGGATAGCCAAGAGTAAGCCCTGCCAGGTATGGCCCCAACCCCCCTCCCCAAAAATTTGATTTTTAACCAGTAATTTTTCTCCCCACCTCGTAATCAATAATTTTAAAACAAGAGATCTCATAAGAAATTCAATCCTACTGAACCCTAGCACCACACGTTTTCTGAGCACTACCGGGGTGACCCTGAGTGTCATGGTCCCAAAAAGTTCCCCCCGCTAAGAAAAGGGAGGAGAGAATTTAAATCCAGGGGATGTGGTTCAGCTGTAGAGAGCACTTGTCTTATATGTGTGAGGCCGAGTTTGATCACCACATCAACAAAGAAGAAAAAGAAAATCAAAAAGGAAATTCAATCCATGTAAACCTGTTGTTTCTTCTCTGAGGCAGCAGAGACTTTGTGGAGAAGGTAAGTGTTTTTATGGGGAAAAAGTACAATTTTATTTGAAGAAATCTGGGTGTTTAATTTTCTATGATTAGGTAAAATGTTTTACCTTAAAATTCAAAAGCATTTCCGTGATTTTTCAAATATTCAAATACTTTTGAGTCTTAAAAGTAGGATGGATTCCCTGTTTATTAAGATCATTTTTGACAACTTGACAACTATCCAACTTAAAAATACAATATGCTAACTCAACAGCAATATTTCTTTAATGACATCTGAATGATATTATTAGATTATTCTAAGGTGATATTTTACAGTGACAAGTTTGGACTATTATTTATGAACATGCTATCTGCCTATATAATGAAATAATTTACAAAGTGATCATACCTCTTCAATACCAGCTATGTTATTCACAGCCAGTTTTTTTAGAGAACTCTGAAGTTTTTTGTCATCAGCCGTAGCTGTTCTATGTACCACCTTCTTCTTTCTGCGAGCTGTACCCTGAAAAACAACAGAACAAAAATGTGAGCATGCTTTACATTTGAGGAATGGATACCCATCACAATACTCTAAAACTCACAGAAGATTAATAAGCATGCTCAGAATAGTGACTGTCAACCTAATTCTTTTTTTGAAGGTCAATCCTCTGTTCTCATTATTTTCAATATCCAGCATGCACCACTTCAACACATTGTTTCAAACTAGTTTTCTAATTATGACTTATTTTGGTGTTGGGGATTGAACCAGGGTTTCAAACACACAAAGCATGTATTTTACAGTAAAACTACAAACCTGACCAAAAGCATCATTTTTTTAAAAAAAAAATTATTAGTGAGACATCATGAGGTACAGTTGTAGACTTACAAATTTTTGTGCTTGGGTTTCAGTTATACAATGATCGAGTACCCAACCCTCCACCAGTGCCCATTTCCCACCACCACGGATCCCAGTATCCCTCCCACCCCCCATCCCCCCATCCCCCCCTGCCTCTGTGGCAGGGCATTTCTTTTTGTTCTCTCTCTCTTATTGAGTGTTGTGGTTTGCAAAAGAGGCAATGGGTGACAATCATGTTTGGTCTATAGTCTACTTTCAGCAAAAAGCATCATTTTTAATTTCCAGGATATTTACGGGCCAAGACTGTGGTTCAGTAGCAGAGCATATGCTTCACCACTACTTCCTGGGGGGAGGGGGGGTAGTGGGACAGTGGGACAGAAAGTGAGAGAGTGAGAGTGAGAGTGAGAGAGTGAGTGAGAGAGAGAGAGTTTGAGGGCCGCACTCAACACTGCTAAAGTGCTCAGGGCTTATTCCTGGCTCTGCACTCAGATCACTCATGGTGGGGCACAGGGAACCATCTGAGGTGCCAGGGATCGAACCCAGGTCAGCTGTGTGCAAATTATGGCCCTGTACCCTTTACTTAATTCTGGGCTACACCTGGTGTTGGTCAGGGCTTACTCCTGGCTCTGCACTCAGCAATCGCTCCTGGCAATGCTCAGGGACCATATGGAATGCCAGGGTAATCAAATGCCCCATCCGCTGTACTACCTCTCTCAACCTTCCTTTCTTTTTTACTTTTGAGCCACACCTTCCGTGTTCAAGACTTACCTCTGACTCTGGCTCAGGGATAACCCTGCTGTGGTTCTGGGGACCCATAAACAGTGCTAAACCCTGCTCAGGTCTGTGTAAGACATGCACCTTCACCGCTATCTCCCCAGTCCTCCTTTCCCTTTTCTTGGTTTTTGGGGCCAGAGTCCCATCTGTTTTCAGGGGACCTTGTGGTGCTGCGGATCCACAGCAGGGTCAGCTACATGCAAGGCAAGCCCTGTAACCTCTATACTTTCTCTTTCTGGCCCCAGCCATTATCTTTCTAATGTGACGGTTACTCCTGACTGCTGAGGAGTAACAGGAATAACTCCCGATATCACAAGAGGAACATGCTCAGTAGTGCTCAGCAGGCCTTTCTAGCCTAGTCTATGTCTTATCAGACTTTAATTATTACCAGTTTTTAAATTCTAAACTCTAGCTGTACCAAACTAAAGCAAGCCATCCTATCGGACAACAAGATGCTGCAGCATCATCCGATGTGCCATTGCGTGAGTGAGGCTGAGAGTCCCCTTTGATTGCATCATTGATCTTCTCTTCTGTCTGCCTAGTGATAAATTCTCATTTATTCTTTACATCTAAGATGGGGCAAGAAGAGGGGTTAAGGCGCTTGCCTTGCATGTGGCTAATCCTGGTCCAAATGCCTGGCACCACACCTGCGCAGAGCCAGTGTGGCACGAAAAACAAAGAACAAACCTCAGCCGATTCTGTCCTTATCCCCTCTAAGCAAGAACACCTCATACTTCATTTCAACACTTGTGATTTTATAGTGTAATTGTAAGCAGCTCACCCTTACAAACTGAGCTGTTTAAGAACAGAAAATTCGGTTTATCTTCTATGTGCTAAACACATGGTCGGGTTTTAATAAACTAGTTAAATGAATGAATGAATGTGCGAACTTAATGGTTTAAAAGATATAATAATGGGGTCAGAGAAATAGTACACGCCTTGCATGAAACTGACTCTGGTTCAGTGCCTAGCACTGCATGTGGCCCCCACAGCCAAAAAGACAAAAAAAAAAAAAAGGATATATAATAATGATATGTTGCATCTTCTTCCATGTCTATTTTTTTTTTTTTTTTGCTTTTTGGGTCACACCCGGCGATGCACAGGAGTTACTCCTGGTCCATGTACTAAGGAATTATTCCTGGTGGTACTCGGGGGACCATATGGGATGCTGGGAACTGAACCTCGGTTGGCCGCGTAGAAGGCAAACACCCTATCCACTGTGCTATTGCTCCAGCCCCCCATGTCTATTCTTAAATAGCACTGTTTTTGAATAGTACTGTTTTTTGCATTGGTATAGGTCATTAATTTTGATGCTAGAGTACTTCTTACTTTGATTACATGACAATATTAATAATAATTGTAGATTAAGACAGCTATCACTACAAAATAAGAAAATACTAGTCACTTCCTTCTCAGCATTAAAAGCTGTGGTTTATGGCACCTCTAAAGCTGCTATATAGGGTTTGTCTAACCCCCCCCTCTTTTTGGGTTTTTTTTGGGTCACACCCGGCGATGTACAGGGGTTACTCCTGGCTCTGCACCCAGGAGTTACTCCTTGTGGTGCTCAGGGGACCATACGGGATGCTGGGAATCGAACGCAGATCGGCCGCGCAAGGCAAACGCCCTACCCTCTGTGTTATCTCTCCAGCCCCTGTCTACCCCCTTTACAAAGGAGTATAGATCTCCCTTCCTTTTACAAAGATTGCATTCACAAGGGAAAAAAAACAAAGCTGGGCTAAGAGCCTGAAGAGAATTGGAGAATTTGGTGCTCAAAATTAGTTCTTTTTCTTTTCTATCCTGTCTTAAGAAGAATTAGTTCTTTTTTCAGACTTTCAAGTACATGGAGGGTCTGGGAGATAAGAGCAATGGTCTGGAGCCTATGATTCAGATGCGGACACCCACAAGGTTCCAATCTCTGACAATCCCTGGTCCCTTTAGCACAACGGAAGTGATCCCTGACCTAACACTCAAGTACCATCAGGACACCTCCACACTCACCCTCAAAAGTCAACAAAGTACATAGAATAAGAATGCTTATGTTTATAGTCACCAACAAAATATAGGCAGAAATATGAGATGAAAACTTAGCAATGAACAAAAGGTAAATCTGAGCATTTCCAACTAAATCCCTTACATACTTGATGTTAACACAAGGTGAATCTAGTCAAGATAAGGTAACTTAAGATAACTTTAATATCCAGAATGCTTAAGAAATGAATAAAATTACAATAGTGAACATTTAGTAAGCATAGGTCTGTGCCAGACACCACACTACATGTTTTATAAAAATCAATCTTTAAAACATCTGTGTAGTTTTTTCTCTTTTCTGTCTTGCAATTGTAAAAATCGAAAGTTAACCAGGTTGGATAACTTGCTCCTATCATGCAACTACCAGATGCTAAAGAGAATTTGAACCCTCACTGCACCATCAGAGAGAGGGCTTCTATTTACCTATTTTAGACCTAAGCAGTTCTTTTTCAAATTGGAATGTGGCTTGACCTTGAAAAAATTTTAGTATTTTCAATGACCACAAATCCAAAATAATATTGTGGTAATAATATACTTTACTACCAGTTTTTTTCCTTTTTGGATCAAAACTGGTGATACTCAGGGTTCCTCCTGGCTCTGCACTCAGAAATTACTCCTGGCGTTGCTTAGGGGACCATATGGGATGCTGGGGATTGAACCCGGGTAGGCCGCGTGCAAGGCAAACGCCCTACCCATTGTGCTATCGCTCCAGCCCCCTACCAGTTTTTCTTATGTCACACTCACCTTGCCCCCTATCCGGACCTGAGCCTGAAGTTTGGCTAACTTTTCTTGATTCATGCTGTTGGTGTATCTAGGAGGGGAAAAACAGATTTGTTAAGGTCATTGTTTCACCAAAGAAAGTGTTTATGCAACAGTATCTTCTGGTTCACTAAGCTTGCCATAGGCCATTATCATATTAATGCTGTCTATATTCTTGTAAACATTAATAAATTATTCTAGTTACATAAAGCACATTATTGAAAGAACCAAAATTAAACATGAGGGAGTCAAGTATACAATCAGAAAAGAGAATGGAACTCCAAGTTACCTATCTGAACACACTCATTAAAAACATGATTCAGTATTCTGGCATTTAGTAAAACCTAACCAATTATAAAATTTCTGCAGGCAAGCCATATTTCCCCCCAAAGGTTTTTACAGCAGAGGGCTGTTACCAACCTTTATGCAAACTGTTCTTGCCTAAAACACATTTTGTATGTCTTAAAAGCCAAAATCAGAAGAACCCCCACCTCCCGGGAGGTGGGTGGGCAGGGAACTGGACAAAAAAGAATTCAACAATGACCTGTCTAGTTGTCAAGACATGAAGTACTGATCCAGAGAGTTCAGCAGGCTCAGCTTATAGGCTAGAGGGATAGTCCAGTGGGTAGGGCATTTGCCTTGCATGAAGCCGACCTGAATTTGATCCCTGACACCCCAGATGGTCCCCCAGCCCACCAGGAGTAATTCCTGAACACAGAGCCTGAAGTCAGTCCTGAGCACTGCTGGGTATGTCCCCACCCCCCAAATAAGCTGGAGCACATGTTCTGTATGCAGGAGACCTGGGTTTGATCCCCAGTACCACATGGTCCTCCCGCACCAATGGGTGGGGACCCAAAACATAAAGAATGTCATATTCTCTCCTCAAGGTCAGATAGCATTAATCAGGAGAGAACCAGATACTCAGACAAGCAGTGTTGCAATATTTTCTGGGGAGTTAATCAATAGCTGATTCTGATATAGCATGCCGCACTTGTCAATCTATTCTTGCATACAGGCAAACTATGTCTCACAGCACAACTTGGCAAAAGACACTACTATACTGATAAAAACCGAGGAGGCTGGCATTAGAAGTCTTCTTTTCGTAGTTGTGCAAGGCATTGAATTTGGGGTCCCATAGGTGCTCTACCCCTAAACTCACCCTCTGGACCAAGAGATTCTTTAATAAAAATATTTTTTTTAATTTTGGGGCCAAACCGGCTGTGGTCCTGATTTTGTGCTCAGGGATCATAGCTTGCAGACTGAATCAGGGCTGTGGTCAAAGTGGCCACATGTAAGGCAAGTGCCTCACCTCTATCCTCTCTCTCTAGACCCAGACCAAGGAGATTCTTACTAAGTTTTCTAGGTTAGTTTAGACTTAGAAAATTCAAAGAACATTCTAAAGTCACAAATGCTAGTCTCATCAGTAATGTTGCTACTAAAGAAAAAGATTAATTTAGAATGGATTAAAACTCTTCATGCAATATAAACAAAAGCCTTAAAAGTCTTGTTTCATTTATTCTGTGGATAGCTGAGCATTCACAGAGAGGTGAGGGAATAAAGGGCTAAGCTGTTACCAGCTCTTTTTTTTCCCTCAACAACTTAACTTTTTGTTTTTGGGTGATCCCCAGTGATGCACAGGGGTCACTCCTGGCTGCTGGGGAACCATATGGGGTGCTGGGAACTGAACCTGTGTCAGCCACATGCAAGGCAAACACCCTACCCTCCGTACTACTGCTCTAGTACTAGAGACTTTTCTTAGGTTTTAAGCTTGTTTCAAGGCCAAATAAACGTCCTGTGTCATTTAGAATTTATGATTTCTAAATTTTGCTCAGCCCTTGTCACAAAGATTAAAAGGCCAAACCCACTCTTTTACAGGAGGAAGTGTGATTTGAGTATGCTATCAGAATGCGTAGGTATTGGCCAATCCCAACTCTGCCAGACTCAAATGTGTTGCTAAATATCCCAATACCTATGCTCAACTGTATTTACTTTTCTTAAAGGAATGTGGCCAAGAAGGTTTGGTGAAGCAATGAAGAACCCAAGGAATTTCTTGCAAAAGGAGGCTAAGTGAAAGGGCCGGGGAGACAGCTCAAAGGGCTAGAGCACAGGTTTGGCATGAAGGAGCCCCAGGTTTGATCCTCATCAACAAATGATCTCTGAGTACCATGCCAGGGAGTGGGCTGAACAGTGTCAGATGTGGCTCTCCCACAGCACACACCAAACCAAACCAACAACACACATATACACACAGAGGTTAACGGAAATGATCAAAAGACACATGCAAACCAATCTGGATTTTGAAGTAACAAGTCGAAGAGAAGAAACGGTAGAGACAGAAGAATTCTGACTAGTCTGCACCAAAAATAAGCATCCTTATCCATGTGTGGATGAAAGAGTGCAAGATTACATCCCACTGCAGGCAATCGGGGGTCAGAAAACTTGTTTTCAAAGAGTATCTCAGAAAAAAATCACTTTAAGGAGGCTGGGAACTCAAGAGTGTAGGAGAGACAGGAGGGAGCTCTTGTCTACCAGAAGTGTGTGCAATTCAGGCTGGTCACGGGATGCGACAGTGAGAGAACCAATCTAGCATCAAGCTCAGAATCTGGGCTAACCCTCGAATAGCACCTGGTTGCATCCCCGACTTCTGGGCCAACCTTTCCGAGATCACAGGCATTGTTTGCCATATATAAGGCAGCAGCAGGATCTCCACAAACAAATCCAAAAAGCAGAGCACCTCCCTCCTAAGTGACTTGGAAATGAGGGTCGGAAAGGAAAATGTCACTTCTTCCAACAGACTTAAGATCAGTGATTTCTTCCCTGGGGTCCCGTGATGGATTAGCCCTTTCCTCAAGAGCTCCAGAAAGTGTCAACAAAGAGGTTATAGTTAATATTTACTGAACATCCAAGTTCCAAGCTTTATGGCAGGCACTTTCACAGCCACCGTGTTCACAAAGGGGTGAAATGATTTCACCCTTTAGCCTTACTTTCTGTTACATGGGTACTGGATTTCTAGGCAGAAGGATCAAGGTCCTGCCACTCAGGGCTTCTGAAAAGGATCTGGCTCCGATGAACCGGTGTTTCCTTTGTTTAAGAAAGGTGTGACACCCCACACACTTCAGACAGTCCTTCTCCAGGGTGGAGGTTTGGTTAGCACGCACAACTTAGGGTTCACTAAATTACCGAAGATTTCAGAAACTGGTAACTATTGTTACCACCCCAGAGGGGCAGCTCTGGTGCGGGGCGAGGACGGACGTGGGAACGGAAGTTGAAACCGCCATTCACAAGCAGCAGCGCCTGTCGGTCAATCATCAAGGTCCTGACAGCTCACGGATGCGCAGGGTAGTGTGAGGGGGTGGCAAAGCCCCGTAAGGCAAGGCTGGGCGGGGGAAGCCGACTGGCAAACACCTCCTGCCAGGAGGGGAGGTGACACGCGCTGCAACGGAATTCGGCCCCAGGCGCGTGGGGCTGGGAGCGGGGGTGGGGGCGGTGGTGTCGGGGCCGCTAACCTCAGTTTCCCTGTCTGTAAGGTGGGACGCCTCAAATGCGATGACAACAGAGACGCTGCACGAAGCTCGGGGCTCACGAGCATTGCCGCTGGGAAAGAACGAGTGAAACAGGGCAGAGGCGGGAAATCGCCCGTCCCCTGCCGCACACCGCCGGGCGGCCGGGCGGCGGGCGCGCACGCCCCGCGCCGTTTGGGGGGCGAGCGGGTGGGGGCCGGCGATGCTGGGGACCGTGCCTCAGGTGCCGACCCCCGCTGCGCCGCCCGCAACCGACAGGCCGGACCGGCCGCCTCCGCCCCCACTCGCGGCGGAAGTGGCCACTCGAGCGGTTGGCGGGCGTCGGCGCCGCCGGGCGGGGGCGCGGGGGGGGCAGACCGTGCGCCGCGGCCCAGGGCCGTGCAGTGGCGGGACCGCCGCGGGTCTCACCTGGAGCAGGAAAGGTCCTCCAACAGCGGCACGCGGGAAGAGCAAGATGGCTACCGCAGGCCAGGAGACAGAGAAAGACGGCGGCGGGAGCGGGAGCCACGTGATGCCGCCGGCCCCCCGCTCCCGCTCCCCCGCGCAGCCTATCCCCGGAGCGCACCTCCGAACTACAAGGCCCAGCCTGCTCTGCGCGGCCCGGGGCGCCGGCGGACGCGGCGCCGCGCCGCGCTGCACCCTGGGACTTGCAGTCCCCCGGGCGTTCCATTGTGCCTCTGCCTAGGCTGGGTCGGGAGCCCACCTCCTGCGAGGCCCGTCTCTTTTTTATTTCTTTTTCTTTCTCTCTTTTTGTTCCTCTGGGTGTGCACTTTTGTCCGTTGTCTTTTGCCAAGGCGTGAAGGACGCGCAGTCGGACTCCAACTGATGCGGGAGGAGAGAACCGTGATCGTGTTCTTTTCGTTGCGTGTGAGAGAGGAAAGGGCAGGAGAAATGCTCAACTCTCAAAGTTAAAAAAAAAAAACAAAACAGGCAGAATTGAGCAGAAGAAACGTGACACTTTAAACAAGTCTGCAGTGACTTCTGTCCTGGTTCTGAAGAGCTCGGTCAGTTTTGCAAAAAGAACCAAGCACACAGTTTCCTTGGAACTTGGATCAGTTAGTTGCATCATACTTCATAAGAAAAAAAAAAAAAGGAAAAAGAATCGCCGTTGCAAGGAAAAAAAAAAAGCCCCAGCGCTTCTCCAGCAGGAAGGGACATTTTTGCAAGGCAGGCGAGCTTAAGCACCGCCAAACAGGTTTGCCAGGTTTCCTTGGCGACCCGAGCAAGACGCTAAGAATGAAACCCACTTCTTCCGTCTACCTTACTTTGGGGGGGGCAAGGGGAACCCGGAGTCCAAAGGGGGCGTCTCCGCCCACGTTACGAACGGCTGACTTCCCCGATCAACAATTTGCGATTTACAGCGGTTGGGGGGGGGGGGGGGCGAAGGGGGAGGGGCGAGCCTTCTGGCGGATGCCACCAGCAACGGTCCTCCCGAGCCCCCTGTGCCACCGCCACTCTCTTGGCCGGTTTTTACCTCTCGGCCCACGGACCGGACACCCAGATGGGAGGAGAGTGAGGGTGAGGGCGGCGGGGAAGCAACGCCCCTTAGCCTGCCACTCCCGCCCCGCCTACGTGACCTGCACCTTTAAACCTACTCCTTCCTAAACTGGACCCCGGAGGCACCACCCACATCCGTATAACATCACTTCCTTCAGGGGTAAAGGGAAAGAAAAATCTGGGAACGCGACGGGAAGGCACGCTCGGGGGAGCCGCGCGGAGCTGCTGCTGCGACTCAGCCCTGCGTCTGCTCAGTCTCGGGGCCCCGCTCACCCGCCACCATGGAGCTGCGGCCTCGTCTCGGGGCCACCTGTTTGCTGAGCGTCAGTTTCCTGCTCCTCCTCACCTCTTCTGCTGGACATACCGGGCTTGGAAACGGTCAGACTGCCTTCTTCATCTTCCTCCTTCCTCGAACCCTCCCCATGCCTAACGCCGGCCGCTTCCCGACCTCCCGTTGACCCGGACCCTGCCAAATTTGCGTTGTAGCTTCTGCAGAAGCTTCTGCAGTTGGAGAACGGGTTCTTGGGGTGGGGCGTAGCGGATCTGGGGAATGTTGAGATGGAGAAGTTCCACTTAAGGGCTTCCTAAATTCTTGGGAGTGGGGGACGGAATGTCCCAGTGTAGTACCTAGTGCTTGCTAGTACGAATCTGGGAAGACTGAGTTCCCTGCTGGTCTAAAAAGGCTCTTGGCCTTGCCCCGAGAAGTTCTGTTACTATCTCCTTTGTGGGTGGAGGAGATTGAGTGTTGAGTGACAGTAGCTGTGGAGGATGACCTACTGTCCCATCCCATTGCTTGCATCTCCAGGGTTTATGCATTGAGTGGCGGGTCTCCTGGGTTTCGCTTCCCTTCCGTTTTTGGTACTCATCTCGCTCTGTCGGATGCCAGCTACAATCCTGCTGTCGTCAGTGGTCTCTTGTCCTCCCTTTTTGCAGACGTATTGGGGGGTTTTGAAATTTGGTGCACCGCCTCCTGAAAAGAGAACGGTGAGCAGGGCAGACAGGAAGCCTGCTCCTGTGGAGCTTAGAATCAAGTCAGAGACAGAGCAGACCCCATGCACAAATAAAGTAAGGAGATCTCCTCCACCCTCCCACCCATCAGAGCTGGGCAGAAACTGCTGGTGGGGAGGCCCTGGATGGGAGGAGGGAGTTGGCATCCCTTTGAGCCCCAGAGGTTGGGGAAGGCTCCACTGAAAAAGTGCTGTGACTTTCCACGCCAGAGTTGAGCTGGCACAGTGACAGCAGGGCCACCGTGTTTTAAGTACTGACGTCCCTGTTTGAAAAGCAGATTCCCCAAGCGCTAGCATGAAAGTGTGTGTATGTACTGGGCTAGATGGGAGAAGATAGTTGAGAGTGTGGGTATAGATCTGTAGTTGTAATTCACTAGAGCACTGACTAACTGAGTGGGTTGGCAGGCTGCTGAACTTCTGAAAGCTCAGTAGCTCATCTGCAAAGTGGGGATAATAATTGCTGCATAATAATTGCTACCGCCGACACTTAACACACAATGATCTCTATTCCAGTTATTGTATGAGGTGTGGGCAATACCTTGAAGTTGTGTATTTGGTATCTTCGGTTTTCGTTAGCTATTAAATTAACTTTTCTGTGGTTGTTCAGTGTGGAATAATAAGCAACCCAAAATGCAGTGGTGGGAAAGAGTAGTTTTATTATGCTTCTATTTCTGTGAGTCAAGAATTGCAACAAGGCAGTATCCGGGGGTCTTCACTGACCTGGTTCCTTCTCCCTGGGGTCCTCCTCCATGGGCTAAGTGTGTCTCCTCATAGATTGGCATGTGGGTCCCAGGAGTGAATGCCCCAAAAGAATTGGTGGAAATGCAGAGCACGATTAGCCTGCCAGGTCACATGGTGTCACTTCCACTATATTCTATAGGGGCATGTTCAAGAGGAAGGGATATTAGTCCTCCCTTCTAATTCTGAGTGCAGGAATGCTGGGGTCAGAGTAAGAAGAGTACAGGGAAGGAGAGATACTGTTGCTGTCACCTTTGAAAGTGTAACATGCCAGTAAAGCAGGACCATATTTTTCTCAATTAATGCCCAGAGATATTTGTTGAAAGAAGGAATGAATGGTAATTCCATCACTGTGATCCCTGTCTTTTTGTCTAGTTTCCAGTCTGAGGAAGCAAGTTAGCGGACAGTTGTATGGCAGGGGGCTGTGTGCTATGAGCAGGGAAGTACAGTGTAACTGCACCAGAGCATAGGAGGGGACCTTCAGGCACAGGCTGTGTAGGCACTTAAATCAGGCACAGAATTAAAAAAGAAAGGCTCTTTGATTGTGTCACGTTCTAGTGTTTGGTGAATTTTTATTGGTCTCACCTCCCAAGGAATACTATGTAATTCTTCCTGAAGTAATGAATATTTTGTTTGATTTTTGTTTTGGGGTCTTACCCAGTGGTGCTCGAGGCTTACTCCTGGCTTCTTGTTTAGGAATCACTCCTGGAAGATTTGGGGGGCCATATGATGTGTTGTGATTAAACCCCAGTCAGATACACACCAGACAAATATCCTACCCGCTGTACTATTGCTCCAGCCCAGAAGTGAATGGTTCAGATTTCTATTTTATTTTTATAGCTGTTGATGGTGGAAGCTTAGAAAATAGCATCCTCCTCACTACCAAAGAAGTGCAACCTACTGCAGTGGTTCCTAAAAATCTTCATGAGTAGGATTTCTTTCCAGATGTTCTCGGGTGCCTGGCCCTTTCCTTAAAAAGGACTGGTGGTTTCTAGAGAGGAGCAGTTAATCTTCATGTTTGCTTGAAGAGGAAGTCCAGTGGTATCTGAGCGTTGGAGAGGAATCAGGAGCCTGGGCTTCTATTTCCGGTCAGCCCATACAGCCTGCTCTGATTTTCCCTGGGAACCATTCATAAAGGAGAGAACTGAACTAGAAAAAGTCTTAATAGCCCTTCCAATTGTCATTCATGTGTGTGTGTGTGTGTGTGTGTGTGTGTGTGTGTGTGTGTCTTCACGAGTAACCCAAAATTCCCTCACTGTCATTCTAGACTTTTACAATAATTTTATTGTTCTATAAGAAGTTATGATGCATTCCACATGGGGTGAAATGGTAGTATCTAATTCTACAGTTACTGTGTTTCAGGCATAGCCCTGTGCATTTTTCATATAGTGATGGTTCACAATAAACTTGTGAGATGAATACTTTTTTTTAAAAAAAAAATCATCATATCAGTCTCACAGACGAAGAAACTAAAAATGAAGCATAGTGGTAATGCATAGTGAACTGACTGGGGTTTATAATCCCAGAGCCCACCTGCCGAGAGTGCAGAAATTTGAAAGATTTGGAAGGAGGAGACAGCTGTCTGGTAGCAGTTCCAGGGCTGTCCTAAGGTAGAAACTGATAAGTTGGTCAAATCTACAGGATAGACAGTTGACTGGGATACATACAGGATATAGTGGTCTAGTTAGTTACCACAACCCTAGGATTGATATTTTGGTTAGTTGTGTTTTACTTTTTTTTTTTTTGCTTTTGTGAAAACAGTAACTATTTGAACCAGGTCCAGCCCAGCTGTGTTTGCAGCTGTTTGTATTTTGCCACAGTGTTATTCTCTCAGGTATACAATGTTTCCTCTTTTAGAGGTTTGACTGCCTCCTGCTTGACTTTGTTTCATTATCTGGTGTGGGGGGGGGCGCAAGGGAACGAAGGGGTGTATAAAATTCTTTCCTGATATCTAGGACTTAAGCTCCTAAAGCAGTTTTAGGAAGAAAAGTGCTAGGGAATTCTGATGCAAGTGCTGGGTTTTCAAATGGTCACTTTCAGATTTTTCTTTTATTTCCTAACAAATATTTTTTTTAGAACAGGTATGGAAGCCTGCAGCTCACTTTGCAGGTGGCTGGCATGAATAAGTTACCCGTGAGCATGACACTGTAGGAAATTGGATCTCTTAGATGTTCCACGTTGGCATGGGGTTGGGGGGGGTGCTGTGGGTGGTGCTGAGGATTAGGTGATTTTAGGAATAAGGTAAACACTGGGCCTTTCTGAGCTCTCTTTTTTTTGTTTGCTTTTGCACCGCACCCAGTTGTGCTCAGGGGTTACTCCTGGCTTTGCAGTCAGGAATCACTCCCGGCGGTGCTCAGGGAATACCGGGGATCAAACTCAGGACTGCCATATGCAAGACAGGTGCCTTATCCACTGTACTATTGTTCTGCCCCATGCCCAAGCTCTTTTTGAAAGAAAACAGGTTTTCCACATCCCAAATCAGTGTTTTTATACTGTTTTGGTGAAGCAACGTTCCTTCATTGGTATAATTTTTGAGTCTTGGCTAGAAAGTCAGTAAAGTGGCATGAGAGGTTAAATGATGAACTGCAATTCTGCTCCCTACATTCTAATCCCAGCTTGCCGCCTCCGGGCAGGGTGACTATGGTCAGTCTACTGAATTCAGCTTCTATATCTGTGAAGGCCAAGTTTCCACCTTAAATTTATTGTGGTGATTAAGTAAACTCATACCTGTTTCTACATGTAAAAGCATGAAAAACAGTGGCTGGCACATATTAACTATGTGAGTGTCAATCACTATGAATGCCATGTCAGATTAGATAAACTGAAAAAATGATGGTGATTATTTCTATTATGAAAAATTTCAGTGTGCTTTTTTAATATGAATTTTTAGAGAAACTTTTTACATGTAAGTAAACTGTTTCAGATTACACTCCTAGGCATAATACTGGTGAACGGCTAGGGAAATGTTGGGGTACTGGAAGAGCATGTTAATTAGGAATCAGGAGTCCTCAGTTCTGAGTGTGGCTTGCTTTGTGGTCCTGGATAGCTCTTTCCTTTACTAAGACCTGGATGACAGGAGACACTGTCAAACACTGTCCTCCCGTTGTTCATCGATTTGCTCCAGTGAGCCCAGTAACGTCTCCATTTTTGAGACTTTTCTGTTACTGTATTCGGCATATTGATTACGTCACGGGGAGCTCGCCAGGTCTGATAACAGGAGAACACTGGGTTAACTGATCTCTGCAGTTGTGCTAGCCAATGTAGTAGCTCCATGTCACTCTTATAATTTTAATTAATTAACATTAAATAGAAGATTTAGCTCTTCTGTTGTACAAGTCAGATCTCAAGTACTTCATAGCCATATGACTACCATATTGAACGGTGAAGATATGAAACATTTGAAAAAAGTTCTGATGAATAGCACTGGAGTCTCTTGGTATTAGTGACTGTAATCCATCACCTAGCTTCTGAGTAGTACAGGTTTATGGAAAAATTTAGTTTTGCTTAATGCTGACCTAGCTTTCCTGTCTTTTGGTTGACATTTGCCTGATCAGATATTTTCCAATGATTTTACTTAGGACTTTCAAAAGTCTGTTTCAAGAGCCAAGATGTGGCTCAGTGATTGAGCACATG